GGAGGTCGAAAATTCGAAACCGAATTCGAAAGGCGCGCTGCCTTATGATTATGATCGTGATATTTCGGATTAGGTGCTGTTAGTGAAGAGAAATATGAGTGACCAGCATATTGTCACGCTCTTTTATGTATAATGCACCATAAGCTGTTTGCTTCTTAGGTACTTGTTTTTGCAGGATGCCGAGCTACTGTGAAATTCCACGAACAAGAAATCGAGGTTTTCATCGACTGTTACCTTAAACCAGCGCATGTTTTTCATGAAGTTTTCGAGTCAGTAGCCGCAACGTCTACGCTGACCACCGCGCCAAAATATTACAAATTTCAAGAAGCTCGGGCCTCCTTGTTACTACAAAGGTGTACATCGACGTGCTACAAAGGCTGTTCATGAGCTCAAAAATTTTGCGTTTGAGTAGCGCCTGACGGCCTTGGACCTCTACAACCTCCACTACAGGCAGATCAGAGGTGACCTCGTAGCAACGTGTCAGTTGCTAAGGGGACTTGGTCTGGATGTCGACTGGGAAACTCTATTTTAAATGGCGTCAAAGACTAGTTTCAGACGACGCGATTACCAGCTTAAAAAGGAAACGTCCCACGCAAATCAGCGTTTCTGCTTTTCGTCGCAGAGAATCATTCGTCAATGGAACTTTTTACCGACGTATGTTGTTAAATTCCCTACTGTGAGCGTGTTCAAGGACATCTGGATAATGACCTGTTAAAAGGCCACCCGAACTCCCCAGGCCCGATCTAAAAGGTTACTGATATGACTATCAACATACTACTAACATGAATTCAACAGATCCTTTTGTGTACTTTAACCTTGACCCAGATAAAAATGTTTACAGTGCGGATGCGATGAACGATTTTTTCCGCCGTTGTTTCGCAAATGCAACATTTTTTCGCATTTAGGTTCCACCATTATATTTATGCATTCTCCACATAAAGCTCCATGCAAAATGTTTGCAATTTAACTATGTTCCTTAACACCAGTGTGGGAAGACCTTTCGCAGAATGTTGGCTCTGGGATGTTGTGTACGGCCGCGTAGCGGTGCTAGATGCTGGCTCGAGCACGTGCTTGCAGAACGACTCTATTTACGACGTGACGGTCCCCTCGCGAGCCAACGCTAGACAGTAAGAGAGATGCGTCAAGTTCCGGGTCGCCTTAACATTCTTTGACAGTAAAACTACGACTGTCAATTGCCTTTTACTGTGATACCACCCCCGAACTGCGATACGCGTACTGCGTCTTGTAATCTGGTCAGATCGAAGAATGTCACTCACACGACTGACTATTCCCACCGATGGTCTGTTGACTTGAGTCGTTGACTCGACTGGTCGAGCGCTAGGCGCAGTGAACATTCAGATCCGGACTCAAATCTAAGGCATCTTAGGGTTGGGACTGGGGTGTCGAGTAGGGGGGTCGCATAGTATACTGGATAGGCCTCCTCCAGAGGGCCACGGGAAAGTTGCGCTCGGCCAGCACGAGAGCTCTCCCATACCGAATACCATACATGGGGTTGTGGTGGCAACCCTGGGCGCCGGCTCACGCCGCACTAGGCTCCTGTGCCCAACTCACTTTCTGGTTTCTCTTGATTCTGAGCTGAAAGGAGTGATAGAGGAGGGAGTGCGGTGGATGCTGCGCAGATCTACTATCATTATAAACTAGTTAACACGCAGGTCACCGTCCCTGTACACACACTGCTGTGTGACACACGACGAGTATCGTCGGTAACGACGGGCGAATTGTCGGACTGTGGGTTGTCTTACCTGACACGACACCCGAGTTCGAGTCCCCGTCTTCAAGTCAGTTTATTAAGGGAATGGTGCTTTCGTCCTTGAGCTCCCTATTCATATCGACAAACAGCAATGGAATCAATAATTACACCAGCAAATACGGAAATTCAAAAGTTAACGGTAAGTATGAGCTATGCGCAAACTGCCGCCGCTAAAACAATCATTATTATATGTACAGTAGTCTTTCAACAAATGAGCATCTAGTCTACACTTAAAAAGGATTCGACCGTTTCGGAAAGAACCACCGCATCATGTAGTCCGCTCCGCGCTTCAATGACCCTGTGAGAGAAGGCGTTCTGTCGGACGTCCGAATGAGCCAGCTTCCTCTGCAGTTTGAAGGAATGACCACGCAGACGGTCATTCCCGGCCAATTCGAAGAATTCATCAAAATCTGGGCACACTCACGGCCTCTGACAATCCTGTAGGTTTGAATGAGATCGCCGTGCAGTTGCCTATAATTTAGAGGAAGCAGATTTAGTTCGGTCAGCCTGGTTTCGTAAGGCAGATGATGAAGATTCTTGACCATCTTCGTAGCCATCGCCTGTACTCTTTCCAGTCTTTGATAATCTTTCTTTAACCACGGTCGCCAGGCCTGGACTGCATACTCTAAGTGAGACCGGACGAATGCCCCATAGATTTTCCCGAACAGCTCTTTATCGATCTGCACTAATCCTCGCCTCAGCGCAACTAACACCCTTATCGCACTTTTGGCTGCCCGTCGACACTGTGATGATGGTTTTAGGGAGGAGGTCATTAGGACGCCGAGGTCTTTCTGTTCCACAACACTTGAAAGGGGCTGACCACGAAGGACGCATTGAAAGGAATCGTCCTCCTTACTGGTCCTTTTGGTGCGAAGTCTCAACACCACACATTTGTCCACATTAAAATTGAGGAGCCAACGAGCTGACTGTTCAGGCGGCTGAGACTGTCTTGAAGCGCGTACCTGTCTGCGTCAGATCTGATGGCTCTCCACAGCTTAACATCGTCAGTAAACATGATGGCGCTGCATCCCAGGTCGTCGACGCAGTCGTTAATGTAAATCAGGAATAGCAACGGCCCTAAGACGGAGCCCTGGGGTACACCACTTAGAACGGGGATAGGAGTTGACCTCGAGGCCTCAACGCACACGTTTTGTGATCTCCCGGTAAGAAAGTCTGTTATCCATGTCAGCAGCCTTCCTCTTATCCCAATTTCAGAACGTTTATAGATTAGGCCTTTGTGTGGGACGCTGTCGAACGCCTTCTTGAAGTCCGTGCAGATGACATCGACCCTACCATCCTCGTCCAGTGCGCGAGTCCACTGCTCCGCAGAGAACAATAAACTGGAAAGGCGCGAGCGGTTCTGTCTGAAGCCGTGCTGCAGGTCTGAGAATAAGTGATCCTGCTGCAGCAACTTCATTGTTGCTTCCTTAAGTATGGCTTCCATTATTTTGCAGCGGATACAGGTTAGACTAACAGGCCGGTAATTGTTAACATTAATGCGAGCCTCACCCTTGTATAACGGAAAGGCATTTGTTGTCTTCCATTTCAATGGCAGCCTCCCTAATTCGAATGACGAGCGGAAGATGTGTGCCAGTGGTTTGAAGAGTGTGGAGTCAAGCACGGGACCAGCGGTCTCAACAGCATTGCTGGCACTGCGACTGCGAAACTCTGTTTCTCTAGTAAAAACCGAGGCAAAATACTGTCCTAAGTGTTCGGCTTTCTCGCTGTTCTCAATGATCTCTACACCATTATCATCCTTCAGCACTGCGACCGGGTCCTTCTTTTTCAGTCCACTGTTAAGTTAGTGAAATAAAATCTCGGGCTTCTGTTCAGCCTGTCAGATAATTTTAAATTTATACTCCTTCCGTGCCTGACGGATACATTTTTTGACTGCATTTCGTTGACGACGAAAGTCTTCGAAATGCGCTGGTGACGCAGTTTCCCTGAATATTTTCCATCTTTTGCTTTTCTTCCGTAGCTGCCTATTTAGGTCCCTAGTTAACCAAGCAGGTCGACTAGTTGTTTTTTGTACTTTAGGTGGACAATAGCGCCGAATCAGATCGAGTGAAATCGCCTTAAAAGATCTCCAGTCGTCCTCCGGATCTCCCCCGCGCAAACGGTCCCAATTCACGGACATCAATTCGTTTTTCATAGTGTTAAAATCTGCCTTCCATATATTAGGTTGGCCCTCTGTTCTCTTCTGGCGTTGAGAGAAGAACGAGTAATCCGAAAGTAGCGTAGTATGGTCCCTTTTCCCGAGAGGTGCATTGGAATACACTTCGTCGACATTAGAGTAGTCCTTAGTGAGAACTAGTTCCAGGCAATTCGCTCTCTGGTTCTCTTGAAATCTTTTTGGTACCTTCACATGTTGCGCCAGAGAGAGATCGAGTGCCAGATCCAGTAGCTTATTGCTGGAAGAAGCTGGCCCACCGTCAACTGCCATAGTTTCCCACTCTATTGTCGGTGCGTTGAAATCCCCAGCAATAAGTACCTCTTGGTGTCTAACTACGTCCTTCATTAAACCAAGGAGCGACTAATCAGCTGCACTCAGCAGGTTTGGTGGTCTGTAAATCGTCAGGAATCCCAGATTTTGTTCATTTCTCTTCTTTATCTTTATCCAAACGGATTCATATTCAAGGGAGAGGGTGTGGGACCGTACAACTGCCGAAATTCCTGCTCTTAAATATACGACTACCCCACCGCCCTGTCTGTTTTGACGGTCTCACCGAAAGAGCTGACAACCCGGTATCCAAATCTCAGCATCCACGATTTCGGCATTGAGCCAAGTTTCCGTTATGGCGATGACGTCGGGGATTCGTTCTGAAACTATCGCTTTGAGTTCGTCGATCTTCGAAACGAGACTTTGAGCATTAGTATACAAAAATCTCAATTTGGCAGGAGCAACTCCGGCATACAGGCGTTTATCCATTTCCTGGGATGGAATGCAAAAGCCGATCGGAGCTGATCGGGATGAACTGCTTCCATCACTCCTAAGCTGTTAGAGTTATGGGCTTTTTCCAGAGGAATGGCCTCTGGACGCGTATAATTTTTCCGTCAACTATTCTGAGATTTGTCTCGCCCAGACTCGACCGCCTGAGGACTTCCTATTTGAACCCCCTCCATTTCTCTCGTTCCACGGGTGAAAAGTCCCGCTGAAAAAAAACTGATGGATGGGCATGTTAGTTTTCTTCTGAAAATGTCTGCCAACTGATATCGAAATGATAATTTTTATTTTCAAACAGACCAGAAATGACTTCTTTTGTTGGTAATACTTCTCGGTGGTAGTAAAGACATTTGCTCTTCCTAAAATGTCCTTTCATGTTATTTTCCAGCGAGTCGACTGGCCATTCTAGAGGAAGAAGCGAAGAGTGAATGTGAGTATTGAGCAGTCCAAAAATGGTCACCCCGAAGTTCGTCAGGTGGAAAGAAATAGTCCGTGATAAGTCCGAGTATTCTTCAATCCCTCCCCTCTATCTGATCATATTTACATTCAGTACGTAATAGTAGTATGCATCATAGCGATCAGTTTGCTTTGCCACACCTTCGTGCATCTACATCTTCTTTATGAAGCGTAAGTAAAGGACTTACAAAGTGGGTTTCCCAACGAAGCATACGCACTTCCTCCAACTTTTCATAAGACAGCACACTTGGCAAGTTGGCTCATCAACTACAACCTGCTGCCACACTTTACCTCTTCGTGCGTAGGCTTCTCTTGGTCGCCATCATCTTCAGGAGCGAGTGCGGTTCCTGTGGATGTGTGCTGCTATAACGACGAAAATCTAAATTTCTGACATCTTCCGATGAATGTAAATTAGCCATCATTGGAGAACTTCAGAAGGGTAAACTGCCCACGTCCTGTTGTTAATAAAGAAAGCCGGGCGGTTATCTTAGCCAAAGATCAGGTAATGTCTTGTTTTTCTGAAATTTTATCCTATCACTACAGTGATGGCATACCTTCTGAAGACGAAGTCGGGTGAACCTAGACGAAAAGTGAAAACATGTGTGGGGATAGTTTATTTCAAGCAGTAACTTTGGGATAATTGACAGACTGCCTGATTTGCCCATGCTAGTCTACTCATACTTCACGATTATCACAAGTGGCAGCTTCAGCTGTTGTGATTCCGCCAGGATGCTAGCTGGCGCTGAAGCGTTCCACGGAACCACTTTTCTAGTGGAACGAGCACAGGGTTCGACGACAGACCCCGAGACCATGAGCCATATAAACCCGGAGGTGCCAAAGGTATTGATGAAGGCAGGGTATTTGCCCAACACGAGCTTCAAATCCTGCAGTAATAATAGCTATTTTCTCTTCTAAGTTCAGTAAACTATATTTTTTCTACAGCATGAAACTGTATCGTTGTCTGGAATTAAAATGCTCCAGATTTTCTCTTGAGTTTACCGAAGTTTCACAGGTGGAGTCTGGTGTGTCCGGTAAATCTTTGGGCTATCGTCTGAAGCAGACAAAGGTTGTTATCGCCTTCAAAATATCTTTGTTATTCCCACATGTTGGTTTGGTTTTGATTCATTATTCTTAGTATATCCTCTCACCTTGATTATGTAGCACAAGTTTTTTGTAATATCACGATTCTTAGGTGGAATTTCTCCCAGTCTTATCCATATGAGGCATGATTAAGCATGTGAAGTAGGGCTTTTTCTCCGCAATCACGATCAGGGAACCAAGTTGAATCGAACAATAGTTTTCATAGCCCGGTCCGAATATGATGGAGAAAGAAGACATTTTCCACTCTCCGGGAATTTTACAGTACCTTGGAAGGAACTCAACAACAGAAACACACAGACATTTCGATTGTTGCATGCGGCGACGTCCAAAATGTGCCACACGACGTGGTGGGCTCTGCGCGGAGACCTGCGCGTGAAATAATTTGTGGTGAGGCGGACTTGCGAGGCATCTAGCTTACACCCTCCTTCCTCAATCACAGACTCCGATGGCAAGGCAGTATCAAGATGACCGCAGGCGGGCTCGGGCGCAGTGGCTGACGGAGCCTATCTGCGCGTGCAGCACACAAATTGTCACCACATAATTCACCAGTTGTTCAAAGAGGAGGACTCCGATCCCATGACAGCGTGAGTATCCTTGAGTCCACATTCAGCAAGAGCCGTTGAACTGGGCTCTCCGTTTTGAGAGGACCGAGTTAGCGACTTAGTTGACAAACGTCCAAGCCACGACATTTAACACAGCACAATAGGGTAAGATGTGGTTATGCAGCCACACGTGATGGACGCAATACTGTTGACCTACTTAATTATTTTGAGTTGGTGTGATTACGTTGGCATAGTGTTGCTGTGCATTACGGTGTGTGTTGTTAGCGGCCGGTCGGACAATTGTATGCAGCCTGGACTATGCAAGCGAACGGAAGGTCCGTGTCATACGGGATGAGTGGGGAGAGGGGGTTTTAAGGGTGGGGAAAATGGGGAACCCAGCGAAGAGTTAGAAAAATAAGTAAAAAAATAGGTTTAGAAAGTTAATAATTGAATTTGTTTGAGGTGAAAATATGCCGAAAATTCAAAAAGTAAGCTGTAACCAATGGGAACAAGATACCCAAGGCCAAAGCCATTCCGCTGGAGGTGCCCCAGACGATACTGTCACGGATGATGAATCCTAGTGAAATGCCAACGACAAGCAGGGCAGTGGAAAGTGAACCCGAGCAACGGTAAGTATGAATGCAAAATACGCAGGACGTAGAGGACTGAGGCCGTAATTATTAATTTGTTCAATAATTACCAAACGTTTCCCACTTATAGAACACGGACAGCAAAGAAGAAGCGGAAGGCCGCTCCGCAAGCAAATAATCCATCGGAGTTTGGACAGATCCTGGATATTATCCAGTCCCCGTATTTAGTGCAATATTTGCAAGCTAAGGGACTGCTGGCGACAGAAGTTAGATGTCGCTGTCGTAAGTCGATGACATTGCGAATATTGCGGCAGCACACGGACGGGTTTGCCTTCAGGTACACGAAAATATTAATATAATGCATTGCGCAGGTGTAACAAATGTGGCACCAAAAGGGCACTGAGAACGGGTTCGGTGTTTAAGGATAGTCGCCTGACGTTATCGAAGGCAATGAGAACGGCCGTTGCGTTTTTGGAGGGAAACGGTGTGGTGAGATGCGCAGCTGTGGTTGGCATAGGTGTGACTGCGGCAGTCCAATGGTATGACATCTGGCGGGATGTCTGCAGTAAGGCCCTCCTCAAGGAAGCCAAACAATTAGGAGGGCCGGAAGTTGAAGTTCAAGTGGATGAAACACTGATAACGCGCCGCAAGTACAATGTCGCACGGTTAAGAAATGAGCACTGGATTTTGGGTAAGGGTCTGCAGGTCGATGACCAATCACAGGCATGTACGATACATGTAAACGGAAAGCGATATTTGAGCAAGTAAACGATCGCAGCTGGTCCTCCCTGAAGGCCGTTATAAAGAAATGGGTTGCTCCCGGAAGCATAATAGTGACTGCCCAGTGGAAGGCATATGCAAAGCTAAGTGAAGAGGGATACCGGCACGAAACGGTGAATCATTCGAAAAATTTTGTGGACCCCACCTCCAGAAAGAACACGAACGCAATTGAGGCCTATTGGAGTAGGCTGAAAAAGAAGTTGCGCGAACGCGGACCTACGAAAGGCCGAAGGATATGGGCCTACCTCGATGAAGCACAGTACCGACTGTGGTTCGGACTGAAAGCAAGTAATTTGGCAAAGTCCTGGGAAAGATTCCTGTCCCATGTGGCTCAGGCCTATCCAGTATCGGAAGCGCAATCGGAAACCGAGATAATTTGCAGCTGACCAGAAAGGTAAGCAGTAACATGTTAACGATGTTGTACACCTAGTTGAATAATAGCGGCCACTGTAAAAACAGTCAAACGGAACAGCCGAACGGCCAGGCAATGGACATTTTGGCCATTGAGAACGGGTGCAGCGGGAAAAGTTTGGAATTCTTTCATACTCCGCACATAAATAGTGAATTCCTTACTATACCTCTGAACTTTTGTTTCCGTTTTTTTCCGTTTCCCAGCCAAAAATGAGCCAACGGAGATTGAATGCGTAATGTTTGAAGGGATTGATGGTAAACCAATGTACACCCTAGCTGGCGGTCTTGACCAATCCAAAGGCTATTTCGTAAGTGCGCTAACCGTCAAGTCAACGGGAAAGCCAAACCTACTGGTCGCCGAAAGGCGGCCAAACCGCCCAATCGCACGGACGTACGAAATCGGCCGACGCGCAAAGGGAAAGCGATCGAAGGAGACCGCACAGAGATCCCAAGGCCCGGGAGTACACCTAAGCCCGTGAAAGTGCAAAGCAAAGCCGAAGCCCTATTGTTGGGTAGCCGTTCCTAAGCCAGCTGTGGTGGGGTGAAGGGGCGGGGAAATTAGCCGTACGGCAGGCAAAGAAAGCAAGCGGCAAGCGGCCTTAGTAGACCACACAGGAAGCCAGCGACCGGGTTTAACGTCTATATGGGGAAGCCACGAAAGGCAAACCTGCGCCGATTAAGTGCACCCAACGCCTACGCGCCAAGCTAACTGGCGCGGTAGCCGCAGGGAACGCGATATGGGAGCCCCCCCCCCCCCCAGCGATCAAATACAACCCGGCAGTTTCGTAAAGGCAGGGGAGGTGGGGGGTATTAGCATGTTAACACGACTGAAGCAGCTTGCAGGTAGAAGCATAATGTAAAGCGTGTTGAATCGCAATCCGCAAAGGTCAAGGATTTCGCCTTTTACTGAAGATTTCCGTGTGGGGGGTGCAATGCAATGTGCCCGTATAGACAGTCTTACAGCGCCTCGTTCTCGGGGCGATTACAGTGAACGAGAAAGTCATCCTGACAGACCCTATACGCCAAATAAAGCAAACATAGCTGGAGCAATAACATGAAGGACTTTATAGCATAACCGCCCTTCGCCCAATTGGCAGTTGTAAGTATGAAACCTAATAAAAGCACGCCTACTGATAGGAAGCAAGTACGTCAACAATGTTGACTCATAATCCCAGGCTACTCACATTTGTTTCGTCTAGCGGCCTCGTTTCTTTATTGTCGCGTCTACCTTTTTCGGCCCATTGCCTGTGGTCCTTCTTGGCTTTCGGCCTGCGTCCCTTTTTAACTTTCGTATTGGATGTTTCAGGGTTAGGGTTTATGGCTGCAGTTAAGGGTTAGGGTTGGGGGCAGGGTTAAGGGTTTGGGGAGTTAGGGTTAGGGGCTTGGCTAGGGCAACTATTTCTTAACCATTCAAAGTACAACCGTGCATTCCCAATAGACTTTCTTTTGCATACAATTTCTTGACCTCGTCTCCTATGCGTTCCCCGGTCCCAGCTGTAAAAACTCGAGTTCCAGCCGCTCCCGTATTACAGGTGACTGGGGTTTGTTTATTGCAGGTGGGACTACATGACCACATCTGACCGCAATAGTTTCAAAACGCTCATATTTTTTATAACAAGGAATGTGCTGGTGTGCCGCGGAGATGAATTCCCGGCGGGCCACAGGAATAGGTACCCTCCATCGTATTACAGGTGGCCTGGCGTTGAATGCCAGGGGGGGTTAGGAGGGTCAGGATTGGGGTAAGTGTTAAACGTAGAACACGAGAATAGGCATCTCCCGGAATTTAACGTATAGCCACCTGTAGTACGAGGGTGATATTTATTCAAATGAATTCCCAGAGTCCACCTTTCTCTTTCTCTTCCATGCATCAGTTGACTGTCGAGCCTTTCAGCCAGCTAGTGTCGGGATTGGGTGCAGTGGCTGACGTGACAGAAAGCTTACCTCTAGGCCTGCCACTACACCCCCCCCCCCATGTGCAGCAGTAGTTACTCGGTTTGCGGTCACTTCCCGGTCCGAGTAATGCGTGTCGTGAGACGATCTGGCCCCGTTTTAGCCCACATCAACCCGTTGTGGGGGTGACGTGTCGTGTACGACAGTTCGACTGTAGTGGACCGACCCCGGGTGCCTGTTGTAATGCTGCGCCTCTTCGAGTACTTGAGCGTGCGCACCAGTGGCGGTCTGGTTCTTAACCAATCACCGTTGTCCAAACTGGCCAACCACCTTCAAGGTCGACTCAGGCGCCTCTTTCTCTCAAGGCGCTGTGACACGCCCCCCACTGTCACTTGGGCCATCGCTCTCACGGTGCCAGGCGTGTGCCCTCGTCCGGCTGCCAACTTTTGTCAGCCCGTTCTCCAATTTTTCTGCACAGACTGCAGTATCCTCTCAGCTGGCGTCTAACACACTGTCCTTCCTCTAGGGACCGGACCTAAAGGTCGTAGTGGCTGTAGTCTCCCTGCGGTTATAGCTGCCACGTAACGACCGTCGCGAGCCATGATGTGCACTGTGTGCCCTACAGCATACTGGGCGCAGGACGGTGACTTACGTGTGAATTAATTTATAGTGACAGCAGATTTACGCGGCATCTGCTGCAGTCTCTCCTCCTTTACTCGCCTGGCCCACTGACTAGACAGAGTCAGGTCGACCGGAGGCCGACTCGGACACAGTGACGGGCGGAGAAATACAGCCCCTCTACGTGTGCCACACACGACCTGGTCACTTCATTTACCAGGTTATATCGTAGGACATGCTTCCCACTTACGTGAGATGTGCATTATCTAAAAGGGGACGTTGTGCCGGTCATACTGATGGAGACGAAGCGAGTCAATACTTGTTTACGGGGTTTGACGCGTGGTGTTGAGGGGGTTCATATGTGACCTTGGGATGTGTGTGTGTGTGTGTGTGTGTTTGGGGAGGTTGAAAAAGGTGTTATGATGGGGTCTGGAGTGCGGTTTTACCGAACATTTGCATGAAAATGTCTATGGCCGAATGGGCCCGTGCAGTGCGACTGGTGCACATTGGTACTCCTGGCACTGGTACGTTGATCTCAGTTCGGTGAATTCGTAAGTATCCGACTAAGTTGATACGTGCGAAAATTTACGGTTGCAATAAGAACAGGATGACACTGTGACAGCTGATGGTGATGGTCGCGACGCTGGTGGTGGTAGAATTGGTAGTGTTGGCGGTGGGGGAGTTTTCAGGCGTAGTAGTTAGGTCTGTCTTAATGCTATTGCGGTGAATTCCGCTGACATCGATACGCATATGATCAGTTATACCCGTGCAGTTTCTGAATGCCTTCGGATATTTTAAACAGGTAAGGTATGCTTGATGGGCGCATGTATGTACTTACCACATCTAGCTCCACTGTCCGCACTGCTCGCATGCATTTGCTCACTGCATGGACCTATTCAGCCACATGCATACCTGCGAGAGCGGAATTCGCCGCAAAATCGACACGTTCAGCACACCTTGAACACCCGACAACTCTCCCAACCCCAGCGTTGCCAACTTTCCCCCCACCGATTCCGTGAACAGTAGCAGTATCGCTATCGTAACCAATTCGGCAGCTCTCCACCCATCCTGCCCTGATTGCCACCGCACATGCACATCACGCATCGGTCCGGTCGGTCACTTGCGAGTCCATCGCACAGAGACTGGAGAAACAGTGCCTGCAGTATTAACATACACCCGCCCCAACTTCCGTGGATATTAAGTCACCGAATCGGCCCATTCGGCCACATGCGCATTCATAAAAACATGCGGTAAAACATCGCCGGCCGAACCCTATTATCAAATACCTCCTCACCAGCACTTATACCGCACAAGGACCTGTCCTTAATCACACACCATAAACACGGAATCTGCACCCCTCGCGAAAGTTGAAATCAAGCTCCCTGGCTCCTTTTCCAAGGGGCCCCTCTGCTACCCTAACACGCGTGATAACCCTGCAGACTACCCTCTTTGTGCAAAATCCTGGGGTGTTTTCTGGGAGGAGGTTGTGAGTGGCAGGCGCAGACTGACTGTTTCTAGCTCTGTCAGCCACCACCCAATCTCCGCGTAAGTTGGTGGACTGGCTCGGATAATCGACTGATACGTGGAGGAGGAAAGAAGGAATGAAGTCGACCTCCAGCGCATATTACTCACAATAAATAGTCTGGCACACATGAAACTATCACGGTGCGCTAAATGCCACGGCTTGGAAGGTTACCAAGTAATTATTCAAATATGACCTTGGAGTCAGTCGAGTGTGAGTTTGTGTGGACTGGCCAAATGGTGAACTTAGAGTCTGGCTTCAATGGATCCTTCTTAATGTGGTCCCTATGGCACTCTCACGCATGCGAGATCTGAAACGCTTACCTTCTTTGTGTGAAATCCTGGTGTGTTCCATGGGAGACCAGACCATGTATGTGACATGCGCAGACAGGCCGTCCTAAGCTCTGTCAACCAGTGCACCCAGTATCCGCATCGGTTGACTAACCGACTCGGACAATGGGCCGGTGCCTACGAGGGGCGGGGGGGAGGAGACCGAGGCCGACAGTCTCAGCGCGTTTTCTTCACTTTAAATGATCTGGTACGCTCGACCTATCACGGTGGCTAAAAGTCGCAGCTTAGAAGGCTGCCTACTGACGGAATACTTCGGCCCTCGCAGGGTTAATGCAATGGCTACTTCTTGATATGGCCTTTATGGCACTCATACTGAGTTGGGATCCGAGAGCTCTCTGGTTCTGGTCACTTTTGCGCTAACCAAGGGGTGTGGTGGCACGCCTAGTTGCAGGCACACGCCTTGCTGGCCATCTGCGTCCGATCCCGCCCCCGGTCTTCTCGACTTTGTCTTCACACCGGACACAGGTCATTGAGGATGAGAGTGCGTTGAGTGCAACGCAAATCTACTACCTTTGTCAAATAACTCGTTGCCGTCTCTGCTTCTGCCATACTATGGATTATGCGGCGGACATCGTGGAAACGGACTGTCAAACTGTCGTATATCAGGGGTACAGGCACTGGCTCGAGAGTCTCAGTGCGATGGATTCCCAAATGACAGACCAGACCTATTCGTGTGAGGAGGTGCGGTCTCAGAGATGACGGGTCTGAATTCGGCTCACACTGTTGGTGATAGGAGGCGGTGGCAATACTGATTCGCGGTGCAGAGGGAGTGTCTCACTGGCGTAGTTAGTGATGGCACACGCAGAAGTACCGTTTAGCTTTGTTAGCCACTGC